TGTCAGTGTCGCGTCTCACTACGGAGGTGCTGGAAGATAAAAAGCACCGAGACAGTGCACGGTTTTATTGTTTTTTTGTTGTGGGGTTTGATTAATTTTAGTAGTTTGCTAGTAAGTAACAATGGCTCATTTTTATTTTAGTATTTGTATTATTACCACAAAGTTTAATGGTGAGGCTTATCACCATTTAACCTATAATGATAAGCCTGCAAAAGGGAGAGCAACAGAAAAGAGAAAATGCTGAGCTTTTTGCCTGCTCTAAAGGGTGTGAGACTAAGTCTTCCCTCCCAAGTTCCAGTGTCAGTGTGCAGTTTCCATGACCTCGAGGTGCCCAAGCTGAGTATGTCGTACAGGGGCGAGGCTCAGAGCTGTGAGGCATGCAGCACCGCTGCCAGGAGACTTTCCTTCCCAGCAGACTGTGCAGAGTGCTGCTGCAGGAGTGTGGCAGCAAATCTGTGTTTCTTCCAGCGAAGTAAAAGCGGGGGATTCCCCACTGGGTACCCAGACACTGTGTAGGACCCTCGGACAAACTTGGAACTTAGCTTCAAGGCAAGTCTGTGCTTTCTTGAGCAGATTCCCTCGTGATAGTTGCAGGATAGCTGAAAGTCAGGCTGTCTGCAGGAAATAAGATTTGCCGCGTTCAGTCAAAGAGTATTGTTCAAAGCACTAAGTGTTTGCAGGCCATGCCAGCATGCATCCATGAGAGAAGAAGGCAGCCTCGTTCCCAATTGCTTTTAGTAACTCATATGGGAGATGAACTCTGGCATTAGAGGGTAACCACAGTCCTCGCTTGAGTGCGTTTGCCAGCACATGAGTGGGTATGAGCTGGCAGTGGTGAGGTAGGCAGGGGCACAGCCAGAACTGCCTGGTGCGGGGTCAGAGCCACTTCTGCCAGCAAAGGCTCTCTCAGCTGCTCAGCTGACCTGAAGCCAGCCCGTGGATGTACACAGTTTTTTGTGGTGTTTGTAGGGTTCCTACCGCACTGGAGCACTGATCTCTGGCTGTTGCGTGCTGGATAATATGCATGAAACAGGCTGCTTCAGGGAGAGTGCTGATGGACGGTGGAGCTCCCTGTTTTACATTATTGTTTTCTCTGGTCACCAATAATAACAGTTCTACTCTCAAATACCAAGTGCTAAATTTTGTGAGGTACCTCCCTGTTCAGTGAAGCTGCTTGTCCAGTGCTTTGTGGAGAGTGGTGGAAGATTGCTGAGCACATGGGGCATTGGGAGGCTTGTCTGCCACTGCATGCACCAGGTGGGAAGTGGGGGCTGAAGTCCTGCTATCAAGGCGGGCATTGTGCCACCGATAGGCACCGTTTCTCAGGGCAGGACATTGGGAATGACTCTGGGCAGGTGGTGGCACGATCTGGAGCAGAGGGGCATGGTCTTGCATGCCCTCAGCAGCAGTGGCCTTATGCCAGGGTGGGATCAGGTGTCCGGGTTCCATTACAAGCCATGCTCACTTTGCTTGCAGTGCATTGCCAACAGTCATGAACACTTCCTTTTTCTCGATCCCTCTTCTGCTCGGAGGGTCCCGCTGGTGTCCCTGGGTGCTGGGCCACAGGATAAACTCGGCCTCTGGAGAAAGATTCACACCTTTCCTAACAAGCTCTGTGTTCCAGGAAGGCATTGCTCCTGCTGGGGTGGCTGACAAGACCTGCCAAGGGCCGGCTGTCTGCCGATGGCTGACAGAGTGTGGTGGGGGAAGGCATGGCAGGGGGTGTGGCAATGCCAGGGCAGACAGATGTGCTTGTTCCTGCACAGTCTTTGAGCCCCAGGGTTAAGCAACAAAGTTTTAACCACTCTGAAAGAGCAGAGACCTCGAACAGCTTGTTTGGGCATTGCTGGCCCATGAGCAGGGCTAGCAGGAGAGGGAGGGAGGCAGCCCTGGGGGCGACAGTGGAGGGAACACACCGCAGGATGAGTGTGGAACCCCGCTTGGTCAGAGCTCATGTCTCTGCCTGAGGCGTGCCGGCATGCTGCTCTGGGCCTGCTTCTGTACAGCTCTGTGCCCAGAGAGGTGTATGTCCATCGGGGTCCTGCATGTCCCTGTTGAGAGGGTGTCCCTGCCTTGGCTGAGCCTCTCCTTGCCCCCTGTGCCTCAGCAGCTCTCCAGGCTCACCGCTGACGCTGTGTCCTATCCTTCGTAGGTGCTGCTG